TTATCACCTCCGTAGCCTTGAGGGCGAGACCACGTTGCAAGTCCTGTATGGCCGCGTCCCGCAAGCTGAGCTCAGCCCTACAGCAAGCTTGTGCACACACACTATACGTCGCTCCTCACCTGACCACCTCTTCAGAGTAGCCACGAAATGTAGAGGAAGGCCTGGCAGCTATCACTGCCTGGTTCGATGATGCCAAGACCGCGTCAATATTCACACTCGAAACATCCACGGATGATTCTTCCAGCGAGCTGGTGTTGGCGCTGGGATAGTCGCTACTGGTTGGAGGCCCCAATGACATGGTCATCGTAGAGTCTCTCTCATCTGCATCAAGTTGCTCCTACACATTCACGGCAGCTCACCTGCTCACCACTTCCCTCCGTGACCTGCCCTCCATCGCTACTAGCAGCAGAGGAGGCTGTAGATGGACTGCCGTAAACCATTGAAAAATCCTCGCACTGCACAGACACATGCACTCGTGAACAAGACACCATCAGCTGATCTAGAAATAACACTGAGTTCATGCGCCCACGTACTAGACATCTGTCTCCTCCGACTCTGGCGTAACCTTGCCTTGCAGCTCGTGATCATTCGGATCTTCCTCTTCGATGTTGATCTCTGGTATCACCTGCCCTTCACTCCAGATAGTAGCCGGATCACAGGCCTGCACGAGCACTACCACATATGTCGGTGACAATATAAAAATTCTGAGGAGATTTTAGGACATTTTCATTGTTGTTTATACACTTCTACTCCATGTCGTTTATAAACTCCTATAATAAGTGAGAAAACTCCCGAGCTCAGCTGAGGAGAGCGAACGTATATTCCGACACAGCAGTTCACCCCAGAGCATCGGCAAGATCTGCGTGCTATGGCCTACATCCTCCGGAACCTCCATGGCCTTGCGTATGTTGTGTATCAGAGCATCATGCTCTGTGTCCAACAGACACTGGCACAGTTTCTCCCCAAAGTACCGACCCCTCATCACGTACCACGCATTCCCAGCCGTCTTGGAAGACCCTACCACAACAACCACTTCAATGCAGAGCCATGCAGTTTAGCAAAATTCACTCACTCTCAGGTGACGAGTAGGGTTTACTCGTACGATATTCGTCGATCCCAGGTACTCCCACAGCTGATGCCGCCTCTGGCTCTCCCAATGCTGATTCGTCCGCTCCACGATCCTACTACCATTCTACATACTGCCAACAGCAGCAACATGGTCAACTACATGTGCGGTGACAATATGATACTTAAGAGGAAATTCTTGAGAAATTCTCTTTGGTTTTGTACATTTCTACCCGAACTCGTATATGAACTCCCGAGCTCAGTTGAGATCAGCGAACAAATATTCTAGCACACCCCATCACCTCAGAGCCCCACTCGCTGTACTTAGGCCCAACAAGGGTCCAGGCGGCCCGAGCCTTCTCAATCAATACGTACATCCTCACCAGCTTCTCATGAGCATTCACCACGTGCTTCCGAGACTCTATCGAAACACTGCGAGAGAGGCGGCCATGGACCGCGGCCACGTACCAGAGGGATTGATCTCGTCCAGTTTCAACACTCCCTTGTCGCCTATGATACGGCGCACCTCCTTCTTATTTGTCAGCCACATTCTAATAAAACCGCCCAAATTCAAACTCATTCTCATACCACTCCTCCGTCACTTCTCAATCAGATTACTACTAGACTCCTCAATCCTATCAGCAAAGGCAAGCAGTGAATCCCTGATCATGCCAGTTGCCCTCAATGCATTGATCGCCCCATCGATCCTCGATACTAGCACTTGGTATTTCACCAGCAAGACCTGGCACTTCCTCACCGTTGCTCAAGGCAGTTGCAACCTACGTCCTGCTGTTCCTTCATATTCCCCTTGGGGTGCTCTTCACTCTTCTTAAGAGCTTCTACTGTCATTGGCACGGACCCTTCCATCGTCAGCCGAACGTCTAGGAGCTCCGCCTTGCCCTGGAGAGCAGACCGTTACTCTACCGTACTGCTAAGACCCACATCGCCAGCTTCCCCTTCCCCTATTCCCTGGTCTAGCCCTTCAACATCATAATGAGCATGGTTACTCTAAGAAGGACACGTCGTCCACTACCGTCACATCTCAGCTCCAACGAATCAACAATGAGGTTAATGATTTTGAGATTAGCGACTTAGGGCGCAGCCTCTATACCTCTTCTTCCTGACCGTCCACGCTCTCCCCCTGCTGCTGGTCCATCGTACCCTCTCCATCATCACCAGCATGACCATGGTCTCCCTCCTCTTCATCATCACCATCATCGGCGCCATGCTCCTCCTCCTCGTCATCTCCCGCGAACTCCATATCCTCCTCACCGCCGTCCTCCTCCATCTCCTCATCATCATCTCCACCCGGGCCTGCCTGTAGGAGGCTACCAGAGGCCTTGGTAGGCCGTGTCGGTGTCTTTGTCGTCTGTGCGCCATGAACAGACACCTCAACCCGCCTCTCCACAAAGCTCGAAGAGCCGTCCTTCTTGCCTAACAGTAACCAACGAAGTGCCCATCTCCCACCAGGGCGGTCCCCACCCTCTTGGTCTTCATCAAAAAGCTCCTTAACGCCATCCAAATAGTCGTACTCACCGCTGCCTTGCTGATCTATGAACAGTGGCTCCGCTGATATCTACAGCGGCAACCCACCCCCACCTTCAATATCCTTGTGTACATGACGGTCACCATCACCATCTCCAGCCTTGTGGGCAGCATCAGAGCCGGGTGCGACACTACTGTGGTGGTGGTGATCCTCGTCCCTGTCCCTCCCATCTGCACCACCCTCCTCGTGATCATCCATGGTGTCGTGCTGCTCTTCCTCCTCCTCTTCTCCTCCTCCATGGTGTTCCCCAATCTCATGCTCTCCATGGCCCTTCTGCTCAGCACGGCTACGCTCCTCCTCCTCCTCGTCAACAGAGACCTTCGTGCCACCCTTCTTCGACAATTCCGCGTCGGCTTCCGCCTGAAACCAACTGCTATTCGCAGCCACCCCACCGGCTCCCCTCCGCCATCAGTTGACCTACCACTGCAGCCTCCGAGTTGACCATGTCCTTCGAGACCTCCTGGACGAGCTTCTCCAAATCGAGACCTTTCTTCATCTCAATCAATGATATTTCCTCCCCTTCCTCCTCATGCTTCGCGGAGCTGCCACCTCCCACATCACTATCCTGCTTTCCTCCTCCACCTCCTATCAGCTTCCCCTGAGTGCCATACTTTCTCGAGAACATCTGCAGCGGCTCCAACCGCTTCTTCTTCTCCGCATAGTACTCCTAAGCATCACACCGTCCCCGCCAACCATGACATTGACTCACATCCTGATCATTGGTTCCCAGCACTGAAGGGTACTTCCCCAAGAGAGCTCTGATGCGGCCCTCTTCCTGCTGGTCGTCCTAACCAAGAGCTCAGTCCCACTCACAGCAGGCCGCACCAGGATCACCCTTTTCCCCTTGGCCCAGGGCATGGTGTAGACCCCTTTCCCCACGTAGGTGTCCAAGCGCATCTTCGCCGCTGTTTCCTTCAACAACACTGACACCATTCAATTCCTCCACAGCAGACCACCAAACGGGCCCCACCGTGCAACTTGGCCAACAGGTCCATGAAGGCGTGCAAGTCGTTAGCCCTAGTGGCGAAGCCGTGAGTGCCAACGGACCACTGAATGTCAGCCAGATGGTCCGGATCCTCGACCCGTCTGCGGCACAGCAAGCCTAGGGTAATACCCGTTGTTCTCTCGAGCAGTACTACTTATCACTAGTAGGGACATAAGACCGCATCTGTCCGATCAACTCCCCTGCCATCTCAGTGAAGAACTCCTTCTTACTGAAGTGAAAAGGGGCACTCGAGGGTCATCCCACTGAAGTGACTCACGAATCAGCTTTGACATCTGACATCAACGGACTTGCCCTAAAGAACACAGGCCGTCCCCATCCTTCTGAAATCGAGCCTCTACTACTTGATGTTCGCCAGGTGTGTCTTAACCTTCTCGCTGTTCTCTCGAAGGATATCTCTGGCCTCCCCTTCCGTTGTGGCATCACCTATAACCGCCATACCATAACTCCGCCAACTCTGCCCAAGGCTGCCCTACTCAGCTTGTCCCACTTGTCTGATACGTCCTTAACGATGTTCACACTCTCCACCTTGAGCTTCTCTCCCCTATCACTTTGAGCCAGCTGAGACCACCAAATCACCACATCGCCACTACCACCCCGCCTCCCTACAGCCTCCGTCTTGTAGTTTTTTGCAGTCTTATCTAGAAGCTCCAACTCCGCAGTGAAGACCTCCATCAGAGCCTTCAGGTCTTCTATCATGCTATCTGCTGTAAAGCATCCCTACCCACAATCCACACAGGCCCACCTCCGACCGTCCTCTCCAACAACGATGCGAACTGTTCTCCCAGTATCGCATTCTGTTGACGGAGATTCCCAAATATGTCCTGTCCTGCCATGTCTAGGAACTCCTTCAGCCGATCGAATGCTCGGCGTATTTTAACCTCGGGGTGGTAAGCTGAGAAAACGACGACACCTGGCACTGCAACCGAAACGTGTACGAATACCCCCAAAACCGATCAATTGTAAAAGGCCAACTGCCTTCGAGCTCGCCTACGCTTCAACGGTCCGTGATTATGCTCTTCGTAATGAGAGTCATCAAACCACTTGAGGAAGTGCGAATCAGCAGCTCGCTCCTCAGTGAGATGCTTCTGTACTGCCTCAGCATCTCGATCCTCCTCCTCAATAGCCTGCCCACTCAACCAGACATGCACGCATGCACAAAGATTCCTCCCACTCACCTCGATGAATGATGACCCCATGAGAGCCGAGACCACCTCCGGATCGAACATTGTCACTTGCTCCCCAAGGAGGGACATCTGCTTCACTATAATGCTCACCGCCCCCCTCCTATACCACTACCTTTGAAATTACCGTCTCCGCGCTCTCTCCGTCGCAACCGCACAAAGCAGCGACCATCCACCACGCCTTAGGAGCTCTCATGGACACCAACAACTCTGAGGACTGTACCCATTGACAACCCAACACGACTAAGCTGAAATCGTAAAGTAGCTCATTTCTTGAAGCCAGTGAGCTCGTTGAAGTAGTCCTGGGCCGCGCCCTGCTTCTGAGCAGCCTTATGGGCGGCATCGATAGCCGCCGCCCTCTTGTTCTGATTCTCTGCTGTTCGATTTGGATCAGCCAGCTCGATACCCTAAACCCTCTGAGCGTACCAGCAACATACCATACCCCACACAACTACCTCAAACTGCGTGAAAGCCAGGCTACTAGAAAGGCCGCTGTTGCCACTGCTAGCAGCAAGTCGCTGCCTTCTAGTTGCACTCAGCTTCTGATTGTGCAACATGCTCTCCATCAACTGTCTCCGCTTCTTATCCTGCTTCGCCGCACTCTAACAACAAACACTACCATCCTCCCCTCTGCCGTTACCAGCCATCCCACCTGCCCAACACGGCCGATACCCTCAAGGCCTTGACCAGCACCTTGAGCCGCTGCCGACAGCATACCCAACCCTCGCCCGAACGCTTCGTTCATATTCAACTCTTCTTCAGCTTCCTCTCCAAACTGAACCACAAATCATCGACAAATCCTTCCTTGGCCGACCCAAGGGAGATAGAGAAAATCCAGAGGGGCCATAACTGTTGTTTGTTGCGCTTTTGAGTTTTCCACACGAGCAAGCTGGTGGCATTGAAACTCAATATAGTACTCACAGAGGATACTCATAAAAAAGGTTTGCCTCCGTGTACCCAGGGCCTCACCTTCATCCTATTAACCTGCTTCCTAGCCTCACTCATACCATACTTCTCCTTGATCGCCCTATGCCTCTTCCCTCCCCTCCTGGGGCCTGGCAGCTCATCCGGGCGCGGCAATGGCTTCTTCTCTCGCGCCTTAGGCGGCGCCTGTGCTTTTCCCTGAACACCAACAATGAGCCCACGAGCCGATTCCCAAGTGTTCTACCAAGGAGGCTAGAACATCTTCGCGCAGCTTAACGCCAATTTTGCCCAGTCGAGCTGACTCGTCCGCACTACCCGCATTGATATGAAGGGAATTGTCCACCCTGAGAGGAAAAAATATGCACATACTCAACTACATGTGTTGATAACAATATGAAAATCCTGAGGAAATTTTGGTCAACCTAATTCGTATGTGAACTTTCATAATAAACAAACGAGCTCCTCAACTCAGCTGAAGGAAGCGAACGTATACTCCAACACTGAGCAACAGCAGCTCATTCAGCCAACCCATATACTGAAATTTCCCTACCTCGCACAAATAGCCGACTTGCCCAACAACAGCCTCACAGCCTTCCTCTTGAAGTCAGGCGGGGTCATAACAACGATATCACTTTGCCAGATCAGGCCTTGCTTCACCGACGCGGCAGTCGATGCCCCCATACCTTGATGAAACTCAATCAACCATAAACGCCATTCGTGTAAGCAAAGACTATCTGCCACTGTGTGAAAATATGCACATGGTCAACTACATGTTCTGAGGAAATTTCTGTACGCTTCTAATCAAATTCGTATATAAATTTCTACAGCACGTAAGGAAACTCCTGAGGCCAGCTGAGGAAAGCGAACATATATTCCAACACTGCGATCAGCTCCCGCCGGCCGCCCTACCACTCAACTGCTTCTTCTGCGCTCCAACATGCTCGATGTTCTGACTAGGCATGATAGCCAGTTTGTCCACACCGCCAGCGCTTGAGATCAACCTGGCGGCCAAAGGAGCCCCCAAAAGAGAATTCAGATTGGGGGCATGCTTAGCCATCTGTCCCTGCAATAACGAATAAGACTCCCTCTCTCCGCGTGCCTAACAATAACGTCCTCACCTGTAGGAAAATCATAATGTCGTTCTTGCAGTCAGCCAAATCGTTAGCAGCAGTGATGTTGGCTAACAACTCGTCGTTCTCTCGAGCAGGTAGCCTAACTCCACTGCCAGCGCTGGAGGTGGCTGTAACGGTGACAGCCACAATAACGTTGTTCGGTAGCAGGTCGGAGAGGTCCACTTTGGACATGTCTAGCGTAGCGTTCGGACCTGGGATGAGAGCCTTACTTCCCCTCCACAAAGCGCCTAGTTCCTCACCTGAAGCGTTGCCGAACACACCAGCCTCCTCCTTTTCGATGAGCCTTTGAACCACTCTGAGGTAATCCAACGGCATCGACACGATACTCTCCAACTCAGGAAACTTCTTAGAGTACACCTGATGATGAAACCCATCACAACCTCACCAAAACACACCCTACTGCCATCGCGGGCTAATACGACCATTGCAATGACAGAAATGCACGACTTAGGAATTTAGGAAATGCAAACAATCAACCATAAGGCACTTCTAAGACCCTCAATTCACTTCGTTTAACGACATAGGATGTGTGGTAAGGTGGGACTACCTTCTTGACATAACGATGGATATGGTAGATATCCTCATCAATAGTAACAGCAACTGTGTTGCACTTCGACAGCAGCTCATACTCGGCCTTCTTTGTCCCCGTACCAGCCGTAGTAGATGGAGTCATCTGGATAATATTCCACAACGATTCGATAACCATATCGCTACCTCAGAACTAGCCGTAGTGCTGTCCTTCATTTCCTCATCCTCCTCCCCGTTCTCCATCGCGCTCGAGGCGTCCCTTATCCGCTGCATAGTCGACAGAAACTCCTCATCAGCTAGCAGTTGAGACACTCCAACTGACGTGTCTGCCAGTTTCTCATCCTCTGACAAGTCTTATCCTTCCAACCCTATTGCCTGTTGCATTACCTCCCAAGGGCACCTTCTCTTCCTCGCCGTCTTGAAGGGCCTCAGCAACCTTGCTCTTATCGTCTCCCGTGTCCTCAGTAACAGGCCGAACGTCCTAACACAAGGTTGTTTGGAGAAAATAAACTTACGTAGACAACATGCTAAGAACAAACGTAATATAAAATGAGAAAGCGACTATCGCCAGAAGCCTTCATATTAGTTTTACTAAGTTATTTTCATATGTCGCTCAGTTCACTTCAAAACCCTGTCGATGTAAGAGGCATCGAACAAGGCAGAAGGCGCGAACTATGATAATTATACGTATTCACATACACACTATGCAGAGAACAAAGGCAATGCCCAATAGGGAGGCGACAGCCTATTTTTAAAAGCGTTCATATTGATTTTAAAACAGAGTTGGAATATACCTTCGCTCACTCGCTGATTATAAAAGTTTACATACAAATCAAGTGTCCGGAAGATTTCAATAATTTCCTCAGAATTCTAACATTATCACCAACACATGTAGTTGACCATGGGCATGTTTTCCTACTCGGTTTTAAAATGTGACTAAATGGTTCATATCAAAACACTGCTCCCTGCCTTACCAAAACGTCGTCCAAATCCGCCAAGAAGGAGTCGGCTAAAGACATGCTCTCGAGGTTAGTCCACTGCCACTACAACAACAAGCACTACCACCTCTAGTAAGTACTAAACCCAACAGCCACCTGGCATTCAAGAAAACTCGGTAAAACTGATCACGCTGAAGTACCGCCAGAACGGCCCTTCTCCGTTGCAAGGCCAAGACGACGCACTGTGTCCAGCGGTAGGGCCCAAACAGGGTCCACCGGCCGGAGATGGAAGGAACCGCTCGTATCGAGGAGGCTCAGGCCGGCCAGACCAAAGAAGGTATGGAACACATCCGGCACGTCTCCAGGTCTGCATACCACTCCTCTCGCAACTTTACTCAACATCAATGATACTACTACCTGTCAGCTATACCTCCATCCTCCTCCTCTTGTGCCCGCAATATGAACCCAGTGAGAGCATCGCTATCTATCCAATGCAGTTTGCCAAGCACGGACAGAGCGGACGTTATCCACCATGAGTAACAGACATCAGGAGCCTGAGGATCGAGACAATCCCAACCACAACTTTCAAGTCGAACTGACAAGACCTTCTCAGGGCGACCATTGAAGCCGCCATGCTTGGGTATTTGCCTCTCGGCCAGCCAGTGTCCTAATCTCCAGTCATCTATCTCATCAGCCTCTTCCCCCAGCAGCGCCAATGCGGCCACAGCACAGAAGGTGTAGGCGGCATGACTCTCAGCCCCAGGGATTGAACCAAAGGCCCCATCGTAATTCTGGCACGAGCGTAGCCATGCAACTGCTCTCTGACGATCGATGTCTTGGTCCTCAGCCTCTGAGAAACCAACGCCTACTATATCCAGAAGTGAAGGAGGAGTGGTATCTACCTTCGGGAGCTCCCACCGCATTCAGCAACGAGAGGATGGCCACAGCCGAGTAAGAAAAACGGCCATCCACCTCCCCACTGTAATCGCCCTGAAAGCCACCATCGCTGGTCTGCATGCTGATGACGAAACGCCTCGTTTCAAGGCGCTCCTCCGGGGACAGTGTGTCGAGCGCATCAAGCTCGGCTAGAACCAGTAGTGCATAGTGTGTTGAGTTTATGTGGGAGTCCATACCCGGGAAAAACCTACGGGGAACTCCGCCTCACCCTCGAGGGCCCAGTCTAGGCACCCCACTACCCGTAACCACCATCCTGGCCCCTGCAGGAATCGATAAAGTTAAGGACATCATCCCGTCGAGTGTAACTCTGGGCATCCAGTTTACCCAGCACGTCTAGAGCGGTGATACCCCAGTACCTTCCACACGAGAGAGTGATGGGTCCACTTCACAACGAACCTACGCGCCCCCCATCCGTATAGACTCGGACAATACAAAGTCCATGGTGAGCGCCCTGATAAAGGTAATAGTTCCTCTTTAGGTCAGCCAGAAGCATTCCTACTTGTCTGGTGTATCGAGATCGTAGATGTACTTCTCGTGTTTGTCCACGAGTAGTGGAGGCTGACTACTTCCCCCTGTCATAGTGAAAACAGCAACTTCTCTGACCATGGGTCTCACCAGTCAACACTGATTCCTGTACACGAGTATAGACTAAACGATTCATCCTGATTAAGCCTTAGGACAACCGCATCCCACCCGAGATGACCAACGTTGCTCAGTTCACGAGTATTGCACATAGTTCACTTCTCTTCGAAGAGTCGGACCACAAGGGGGAGAGGCAGGGCGCCGTGATGGTCCCCACGATGAAGGACTTTCCTCCGCTCGAAAGTCTCAACACTTTGCACGACAAATTGATCTCTTTCGGACCGCAGCATGAAGCGCGCGCCCAGACAATCGATGAATTCGAGGGGCTGTGTTCCTTAAGCCGGTTCGGTGTGAACGTGCATATATAGGACCGCATAGGAAGTGGCCACCCATCGGTCCCCCAGCGTGTCTGGACTTACTATAGGGCGTACTGAATGCTATTTTCGTGGTTTTCTTGAGGTGGATTCAGAACTGACCGCTTAGTTCGGGCGCAATTGGTCGCAATCGCTAGCAAGGAAATACTCAATTCGTTCGATTGCATCATAGAGTTTACTATGGGAGGCAGCGGGGATCGGGTGATGATAATGCTGATGTTTTCAGGGCTTGATTTTGAGTCGTCGTCCCGCCGAAAAGCACTCAACTTCGGTCACTGACGAGTCTAGATCTTGCCCAGTTGGGGTGCCATGTCTACAACAGCAAATACAAGCTTTAATCAGCAACAACAATCATCTTCTAACAATATGGGTGGTGGATCAGGACCGGCCAGCAATAGCAACAGCCGCGGTCCATGGGGCCCTAATGGGCCTGGTAAAGGGAAGGGTAAGGGAGCTGCTGCATCTATGAACCAAGGCATGCAGCAACAACCGCCCCCACCTCCCCCTCACGCTACTTATCAACAGCAACAACAGCCACAAGGTGGTTATTATACTCCTAGTGGTGGTTATATGATGGAGGAAATGGGAATGCCTCAGCAATTCGTCCATCAGGTAATGCTCTCGCGCCAAGGAAAATCGGTGAAATTTTGCGATCGGTCACGGCGCTCGAAAATTTGGAAAATCACATTCGCCCGGGAAGGAGACTCGAGAAGGGCGTCCATTTCACTCTTGGAATCACATCTTGATGAATAACCATGCTTGCTGCGTGATTAGCTGTCATTGTTTTCAGGGATATGGCTTCGCCGCCATGCCCCCCTATATGGCCTACGGTGGGCCCACGTCCCAGCCTCCCCCACCACCTATGATGTCCGCCGGCTACGGTTATCAGATGGCACCTGGTATGGGCCCTCCTGGTGGTGCAGCAGCCTACTATGTACCGATGCAGGGCATGCCTTATGGGATGCCTGGACAGGAGTATCCCATGCAAGCAGCCATGATGACTCCTCCTCCACCTCAGCATCTTCAAGGTGGATATCCTGGTGGTGGTATGTATGCTGGGGCTCCGCCATATGGTACTCCTATGGATTCCGGTGGTCCTATGTCGGCACCACCGATGCCCCGGCCTGGTAGTGGTCCCCAACAGCAACAACCCCCCCACAGTGGTGCGACTATTGGGAATGCCAGCGATACTGCCTCTGGCATAATGGGTGGTGAAGAGTCGCATCTTCAACAACAAGCGCAACATTTGAATGATAATAGTATTCAACAATCTGCTACCTCTCGTGGTGGTAATACTCCTAGTGGAGGTCCTCCTAGTCGAGGGAGCACTATGGGCCCTGGCGCGCGCCCATTCCCTGGCCCACCTCGACGAGAAGGATCGGCAACCTCGGTCCCGGGTGGTCGCCCTCGGAAACCGTTGACAATCATTGACCCTAGTACTGGTCAGGAGGTGAAGTTGGTCGACCAACCTGCTACTAGTACAACTAAAGATTCCAAGCCTGTCACCAGCGAGGACAATGCGGCGGTTCCTGCGGGCCCCACGACTAGGCCGGCGGCCCGTGTCGACTCTGGTGTCGTGGAGGAAGAGAAGACTGGTGAAACTCGTCCTACTACAGCGGCTACTACCGGGAGACCAGTGTCTCGCCAGAGGCCAGTCCAGGCGGCAGTTGCTGCCGGTGGGGCTCCGACGGGCCCTTCGGCTGATGTAGCCGAGGGCTTTGAGACTGTCCAGCCTCATTCATCTGGCACTTCCTCGGGAGAGGCTTCCCATCATGATGACTATCGTGGGGTGAACGATAGGAAGAAGCTCCTCAATGCTGCCCTACGGAAGCCACTGCCGTCCTCTACCAAGCCGCCACTTATCGATTCCAAGCATCCCAAGCAACAGCAGGCAGCTCCTCCTTCTACCGGTAAACCTGAAGGGCCCTCTGAGGCCTCGGCCCAGGAGAGGGACGGTCAGCGTGAAGACTACGCTGAGCATGGTGTTCAACAACAGCAGCAACAGCTGGGCTTCATTCCTGCTGGTGGTGTCCCTCCTATGTACCCAATGGGAGGCCCTTATGGTGGTATGCCTCCTTATGGCACGCCTCCTCCCTCCTACGTTGGACCTCAGTATGGTGCTCCGATGATGCAGCCACAACAGCCGGCAATGCCTATGTATCCTCAGCCACCCCAAGGAGGTGTTGGAATGATGATGCCCATGTACCCTCAGCCGGGCCTGCCGAGCTCTAGTGAGGAGGTAGAGATGTCCTCTCCCCCTCCACCATCGATGCCCTCCGAGCCGTCTCCTCAGCAGCCTCCGGCTAGTGGTGATCTCAGTAGTTCATCTGCGGCTAAGTCGGGTACTCAGTATGGTGGGAGGAAACTAGCTTTCAATAAGGCTATCGCTAAGAAGTCTCCAACAGTAGCTGTTACATCACCAGCTGAGAAGGAGGTCTCTACTGCTCCTACTAGTGGCACTGCTGCAGCGGCCAACGAGTCTGTCGCTCCTCACGTGGAAGGTCCGAACCATCTTGGTGAGACTTCAGCCGTCACCCTCGAGCGCAAGAAGCTGTTCAGTCGGGCTATCGGGAAGCCTAAGGTCGCTGTGACTCCTCCTCCCCCTCCTCCTTCTCAGCAGCAGCCAGAGCCGGTACAGGAGGAGGCGTCAACGACAACTGTCGAGGCTAGCAGGCCAGAAGCTGTCCCAGAAGCCCCAGTGGCGGCCACCAAACCGGCATTAGAAACACCGCCTTCTACGATGGTCTCACTCGCTAAGAAGCGTGGATTCAAGTAAGCTTGAGTGAAGGTTCTGTATGTTGACCATTGGTGTCCTTTCTTAGGAATATCCCTATCGACCGTTCGGCCGTCCACCCCAGTCCAGTCGTGGCTCCACAGCCTGTTACTGTACCAGGGGAGCATGAGCAGGAGGGTCTCCCAGAGTCGGCGGCAGTCATCACTTCCTCGGTGCCAACCCCTGAGACTGAGGCTGCCTCGAAGGACAAGGACAGTTGGGAGGAGACCAGTTCGTCTGAGGGCGAACCACTGAAGGCTGCTGGGGTCCCTGAGGAGCTCACTGAGGGCGAGGAAACTCCATCAGCTCAGTCTAGTGAGGTAGGTATAGGTGTTCTAGTTGTGGAATTCTGCCGTAATTCCTGTTGTTCTTAGGAATCGCTTTCCGAGCCCCTTCCTTTTTCCGGTCCTCTATCACGCAACGACCTCCTCCGTATGTTCCTTGTGGCTCCGGCGACCGAGGCATTTCGGGGAGATACGCGGCCGATCGACTTCGCCGATGAGACCCCTCCGCCACAACTGGTTACCCTTTCTGTTGCTAGCACCAGTCAAGTACGGCAACCTGGTGGTGGTACTGGCGGCGGCGGCCTGAGAAGAACGACCAGCAAGGGTATGATGGGCCAACGCCCGCAGGGTTATGGTGGCGGTGGTGGCGGTGGTGGTCATCACTTGGGCAGTGGTGATTGGCGCAAGGACATGCTCGGTCCGCAGGCTATGCGGGATAAGTACAATCGTCAGCAGAGTCGACAGCAGTATAAACGGTCCAACGCCCCAGTGGTCCCATTGAAGGTTACTGAGCACGGCTACAAGGTGGCAGCGAAGCTTGAGGATGTATCCCCTCAAGAGAAGCTCCATCGTCTGGTCATGTCCAACCTCAACCGTATCACCGCTGAGAACTTCATGCAGGTCACTGCTAGCTTGGCCGAGCTGGGGGTAAGTCGGGCGCGCGTCCTCTGTCGTTCCACCATAACGTTTTTTGTCTCAGATCGACGAAGGTTGGAAGCTGGAGCTAGTGGTACGGACCATCTTCGACAAGGCAATTCAGGAGAGCTACTACTGCGAGATCTATTCTGACATGTGTATGCAACTCCGCCGGGTGCTGCCAGAGTTCGAGGGTGACGATATTAACAAGCCTATGACCTTCACAAGAGCTCTTATTACTAAGTGCCAAGAGGAGTTCGAGGCCTTGCCAGTGGATCTAGCTCCGACACCTGAGGAAGAGGCCAAGGCCAATGGTGATGCCCAAGAGTTGGAGGTCATCCGCTCCAAGAAGAAGGAACGTATTCTGGGTAACATGAAGTTTATTGGGCAACTCTTTCTACGTCAACTACTGAGTGCCAAGGTTATCAAGGAGGTCGTTGGTCAACTTATTTTCCGGTCGGATGAGCCCGAGGAGCACTACATTGAATGTGTTTGCATCCTATTGCTGAATATTGGGTCCACCCTAGACCAGTACGATCGTGGTCGCAATATGTGTACGGCTTTCATCAGACGGTTGAGGGATATCAAGAGGTTGGACTACCCTAGTAGGCTCAAGTTTATGATCCAGGATCTCATCGATAACAGGAGTCGAGGTTGGGTGGACCGCAAGGGCAATCCTGTTGGTGGTAGGAGCAAGAAAGCGGTGAAGTCCGTTACCCTACAGGGCCAAGAGGACACTAAGCGGCAGGCCAAGCTGGATGAGGCCCGACGGAAGATGGATGAACTTGCCATTGAGAAGAAGGAGCAGAAGGAGGCTAAGGAGAGGGAGCTCCAGGAAGCACGAGCTTTCAAGGTCGATAAGTTCAAGAACTGTCGGGACTACTTCCGTGAAGATGGTGATCTGAACTCCTTCCTCAACGATGTCACTACTATGGTCCAGAACGACCCGAGCTGTCCCTCCAAGATGGCTGAGAATCTGGTCAACTGGGGCGCGGAGGACCCACGTGGGGCCTTTAAGGACGCTGAGCTCATCGTTGAGCTGGTCCGCCGTGGCATTATCCCCTTCAAGGTATTGAACCTGGTTTTGCGAGGTTTCCTCGAGGTTCTGGATGACGTGGCTATGGACTTCCCCAAAGCACCAGAGTTCTACCATAGGCTATTCGCCTTGCTACTAGTTGGTGATTACTCTGTAGCGGAGGAACCTAGCGAGTTCGATCCACAGCTTATCCTATCTTGGAAGGTCCTGGGTTCTGATGAACGGTCGTTCGATCTTGCCGTTAAGGTTTTGGAGCAAGCGAAGCGCATTGCCGGTGTCCCTGGTGTCCACAAGGGTTTGCACTTTCTTCGTCCTCTGATGAAGAGGATGAAGCATTTGGAGCCCTCTGATGACAAGGACCTGGATGAGATGCTGGAAGAGATGGGCCTTTTGAAGGACGAGACGGAGGGTTTGCTCGACAAGCTCGGTGCTGCCCTAAAGGGCAAAGATTTTGACGCGGCAACGCAGTTGATGAACGAGGAGGCCTCGGGTGATTTGCTCGGTGGTAAAAACGCACTATTCGAACGGAGAGTGATTTCAGCGTTGATATCAAACTTGCGTCTGGCATGGTCGAAGGACTCTTGGACAGTACGGCTGAAGCCTGCGGAGAGCCTCCTACGTACGGTTTGTGGTACGGGAACTGAGACTGGTGTCGGTAGTCCTAACAACAGCGAACTCCACAACCAGAAGCGGCTCGTAGAGTCCCTCGCTGGTGCCATATACGATGCCCGGCTGCCGTCCAAGGATGTTGCCGGTATCTACCGGGCATTCGTGGATATGGGCCTCGTACGGCAAGTGGTCCTTCAGCAGTGGTATTCCCAGACTTCTACGGAGTCCGACCGTGAAGTGCGGAAGTTCAGTGCGGAAGGCCTGAGACGTGTTGTGGCTGGCCAGAGTAGTAATGGTGACACACCACCAGAGAGCTCTGCAGAGTCGCTGGCCTCTCCTGCTTCGTCTGTTACTCAGTAGCTGGTCGGGGTAGGTAGTACTACTCTAGCGACTCGTTTATTCAAAAATACTAATAATACCGTACCATTGCTCTTGGGTACTCTATCTGATGGCCCTCCTCCTCTTCAAGGTTGCTTGCGCGTTTTTGTCTTATATTCCCGTCAACACTACTACTACTGGTCTCCTGCACTTGGATGGCAGTTAGCTGCCTATTCTATAGACGGCACTATCGTGACTATGAGTCTGGTCTTGGGCGGTCCTGTTAACATTACTAGTAATACTGCTCTCTCTGGTTCATTAGTGGCAAGGCTTTTCCTCCCCTCCCACGCGCCATGGGAGGGGTGGGTACTTCTCCGCACTGCGTAGTGAGGAATTTTCCAAGTGGTGACGGCCCGGAGACGTGGCTCCGGTAATATCATCCATTGCCTTCGCCCTTGCCTCGACTAGCTGGATCGGTCTTGGACGCCTGCTGAGCGATGACGCCAACCTGTCTCATTTTTGTCTACGATGAGCTGATATGCAGAGGCCAACCATCTTGTTGCTGGTCATTGCCGGTGACTGGTGAAGTGCTGGGGCGTGACGCAGGAGTTAGTGACGATAAGGCTGTTGTCGATCCTCAGCAATTCCGTGGTTGATTGTTGCTACTATTATTATTACTACTACTAATGCGAATGCTGATGCCTTGGTGTAGTTAATATAACACATTAGGGTGGCTAATTACCGAATCCCATATAAGAAGATGATTATTGCTATTATAGCGACGCTGTTGCGGCACTCCAACTAAACATGCCTCACGGCTCTTCATAAACGGGTTCTTGCCCAAAATTATATCTCTCAAAAAACACAGATGAAGGAAGAGGTTCAAGAAGCGGTGATGATACTTTTATGGTTGTGCTGTATGAAAAACCAAAACGGTTGTCGCATAGTAATAAGTGGCCGGTCACACCTATGTGTGGTTCGCCGTCTATATGGCGTCGTTGATTTCAATGGAGATTCGCGGCTGCTATATGTACGATTTGGGTATGTTGATATTGGTAATAGTTGTAGTAGTAGTAGCAGCTGAGAATGTTGCTCACCTGTTGTTTATTATTTTTCCGTGGAGGAGTTGTCTATGATAGTAATTGCTACATGAGGTTCGCGTTTGCTCCAGGACGGCGGCGACTAGTCTCTGACTGTTGTCCCTACACTGAGCAGTGCTACCCTCTTAGACCCGTAGGTCTACTGTAGATGGATAGTGATAGTGTACCACTGTTGAAACACTCTCTGTGTTGCGTTAACCATACAAGGGGACTCTTTGTGGTAGTTTTATTTCACAAAGTCCTTTCTAATGATCCCCATACCATCAGCAGGAGGCTCGCACGTCCCAAATGAGGCTGTACGGCGGAAGTATCGGCCGGTCCTTTTGGGTCTACTTTTCCTCCATCTCGCCGTCGCGGGTATTCGCATGTAGGTCTCAGGAGAGCACAGTGTGTGCAAGTACAGTCGTTGTTAGTTACCAACTCCAAATAGTGAATGGGGTTATGAGCCTACTGTGGATCTCTGGGGCTTATTACGTGGTGGTCCAATGGGAGATGATGCTGCACTATATTACGATGATCGGCTTCATTTTTGGATTCAACGGAGTAGTACTTTCAACTTGCACCATCTCGCATCATCCTCCTCAGTTCGTCAGTACACTATACCTCATTGAGAGGCTGACCAAGGTCAAGGCAGCGCCCATGTTTTCATTGCCTATTGCAGATTCGTTGCTCGTAGCACAGCCTGTATTGGACATCGCAGTGGCTGTAGTGTGCTGGCTGGTGAGGGATCGGTCTCGGCAGGTCCTTAGTGATGATCCTCACGTAGGTTTATGAAGCCGACAAAGACGGCTATGCACCTGTTAACGCTGGACCGACAGGGTCGCGTTATAGTACTACGTACGGCAGCTACTCGGTAGTCGTCTTCATGACGGGGTCAGGCCTGTATGTATAGAGTCGTGTCTCTAGGTTTCTGGTGGTCCTACATTCACGGCCTTCTCTGGTCGTGGTTCGCGACTTGGCTCTGATAAGGAACATGTTTAGTGCTGCTTCATCATACCGTTCAACATGCTTCACTATTGCGACTACACTTGTGGATTGAATATCAGTTTTGCGTTACTAGTGGGAGAAAGGTAACTGTACGATGCATGAAGTTGTTGACTATGGTACCATCGACGGTTCCCAGCGAGAGGCCTTCGTCCAGTGGTAGTAGGCGAGCCCTCCATCCCGACTCATTGTGCTGTTCAGACGCTGCACTCCCCAAAGCCTTGGAGCTGGCAGTTATGCGGCAGCCAATGCCGGTCATTGATCCTGGCAGTGAAGGGGTAGTAGTAGTAGTAGTAGTAGTAGTAGTAGTAGTAGTAGTAGTAGTACTAGCAGCTCCGACTGGGTCTGAGGGCTGGGAGTTAGATACTAGTTGGCTCGCCAACGACCTTCGATGGACGTATTGAGGACCAGAGCAGTTCGAGTGGCCATCCTAACCTCCTCGCCCAATATTCGGAGTTGGTCCTCTCCTATCGGTATTGGCGTACCGTCAGAGGAGACGGAAACTGCTACTACCGAGCCTTGGCCTATGGCTTTGTGGAGTATTCGGCGCTCTTCTGTCCAGTAGCACTGACAGGTCTTGTCGAGAAGCTAGCTGCTATGACTGATAAAGGACGGAACCATCCTATGTTCGCTGGTAATAAGGGGAAACTCTCCATAGCGCATTTCATAGTGACTGTACAATGGAGTTTCACTCGTTTTACGGGAAGTGGCGTTTCACTCGGTGAAAAACGCAGAAGTCGTGGAATATATTTTCACTAGTGTTTTCATATCACAGGATGAAACTCCAATGAGTTAGCTTTCTGAGTCTTCGAGTGTTACAATATTGTCAACTGCAATCAAGTCATCTGAGGAGGAATAATTTTGCATAACGGATTGGTCCACACTGCATACATCTCGAACTCGTACGACTTCATCTATGGCCTGGCAGGTTCCTATAGGGTTCTTGCTGTCCTGCTCCCATCGTGGCGGGTCAGGCTGGAGACTGCTGCTGGGAATACAGCTGAGGAGAAGAGCATTTTCACAGAGGTAGTACTTCGACGGAGGGCGCAGGGGCCCACCAATACTATGCAGATACATCGCGCACTGAATACCCCTGCTATAGACCAAGCCTTTGTCGCCGCCATCCGGTTGCTAGTGGCGGATTATTTATCTCGCCACAAGTCGGACCCTTGCACTGCCGGGGCTGATGCTGATTGCTCCTTCACTTGGGATCAGTGGGCCAATGGGTTGATGGATGCTGGTAGGTCGAGGACCCCAGGTAGCTGAAGGGTCATGGCTATTATCCAGGTATCGACGGCCCCGGAGGATTCATAGAGTCAGCTGTCCTCGTGATGGAAGAGGACGCCTCGGACCTCGTCCAGGCTGCGGCCCCGAGGGCTCTGGATTGCTGCGTTAGGATCATAATGGTCCACAGGTGATACGTGCTTTCCAACGCGGGTTTCCCTCATCTTTACCTTTTTTAGAGACCGCACAGCCCTGCACAACATCGACTACAGCGGCAGCACTTCAGTGAGTGACGGGCCTCAGGGGAGGGGGGCTGGACCTTCGCTGCCCTCAGGAGCCTCAAGTCCACCTCCTATTCCAACCTGGCCACTACGAACTACTCATACCGATTCAACCGGAGAGATACTCTATCCTTCCCATAATAGACGACGCTACCCTTGTGCCCGCAGGAGTGCCCGTCCAAGGGCCACCGCAACCTAGCGCCAGTAACGAATTCGAGGGGTTCATGCAGCAAGTGAGCGTAAAGCATGTACTTTTCTGACCTCATTTGTGTCTTCCTGATAGGTCCTCTCGAAATATCATGCCCTCTGGGGCCAGTCTCGTTACCTCAGCAGTGTAGTGGACCAACTACTACCCCGCTTGGACGCTCGTGCTCGGCCATCCCCCTATGCAAACCCAGCAGATGCTCGCTGTGAACTGACAGAGATGCGCAACGTCTTGAAGGTGAAATGTGTTCAATAGACTCTTAGCAACTTTTCATTGCAGAATCTGGGAGAAGCCCAGCGACAGCTCAGTGCCATGCCCGAGGACCCAATGGACGATGAGAAGCCGGTACCGCCTCTCTCAGTTCGCGAGGAGTCCGACGCCGATACGCAGATGCCGAAGTATGGTACATTGATGTCGTTCATGCTGGTTGCTCTCGTTGTACATGCAGCTGAGAACTTGTGGAGGAAATTTTTTTATAACTTTTCGACTTCTCACTGATTACGAAGAGTTAGGCCCTGAAACTTGTTATGTAGAATAGGAGCATAGCTCTCTGAGCCGCAACATGGTACTGTTTGAGCTGAATGTGCACAAGTCGGAAAACCGGGTATGCTGGGAATGTGTGAAGGGGTGTACTGTTGCAGATACCTCTCGGCTCTGCGAAAGGCGTATGAATCCTCTACACCTCCCAAGGGGGAAGGAGTCAATTTGAAGGTTGAGGACGGCACTGAGGAGGCATTGATGGACTGGCCGGAGCTCCAGAACTCCATCACGCCTGCAACGGCATCAGCTGGAGTTTTCGTATGCGGGTTGTGCGACAAAGATGGTCAAATCGTGGGCGACGAGGGAGATGGGGTCCGGACTCCGTGTGGCGACAAGGTCCATAAGGAATGCCTTCGGCAATTCGTCGAAAAAACTATTGAGAAGAACAACACTCCGTTGCAGGACATTCGCTGTTGGCGGCATAATCGCAGGCATGAGATTGTCTTTGATCATTTTCGTTCGATTTAACGTGTTTACAGGCTCGGGCAAGTCTTCCTGCAAACCAACATGCGCGTTCAGGAGGTCAGCGACGATGCCGAGATGAACTCGGAGGCCGCGACTGCTGATGAGCCGGAGGGGGAAGAGCCTGCTGAGGGTTGCGTCATTTGCAAGAAAACTGGAAAATTAGAACTCACTCTACCCTGTGGTTGCCATGCTCACAAGAAGTGCCTCGAGAGCAGCGTTGAGGCCTTCATAAGAGGCGGGCAGGCCCCTGCAGAGATCGAATGCCCTCAACATACAGGACGCCGGTAGGGCACAATACCGTCGAAGAGAATTACGCCTTTCTTAGGTTGGGCGTCAGCTTCCTGGAGTCGACAGTGCCTGCTGCCCTCGAGCCTGTACGCTCTGTTTGGAGTGGTTTCTCAGCACGGGTGGCGGCTGCAGCCGCGGCCAGCGGAAGCACTCGGCAAGGTTGGTCATGAGCTGTGGCTATTCACACAAGAAATGGACATTTAGGTTCGGTTCAAGCGGAACCAACAACTGTGCGGACGGGCATTCGTAGCAATGCGGTGGTCAAGAGTGAATCTCAGAAGGTGACCAGTGTAGAGGTTTCTGCTAGTCGCACACTATCTCTCAGGACGACCCAATGAGAGCGGTTAAGCCGTCCGTTCCAGTCAACGAGCCGTTGTTTAAAGGGGCAGTGAGATGCAGCAGTTGCCGAGGCATCCTCGTAGCCTCGGAGAGCTTCCGACTACTGTGTCACCATCGATTCCATCAAGCCTGTTTGGCGGAGCCCCTGACAAAGCAGATCTCAGATAACGGCGGGGGATCTTTGAAGTGTCCCGTGTGTGGTGACAGCATTGCGGTTGAGGCCAATGATGCTCTCCTTAAGAAGTGCCTCGACCCTGGTGCATATTACAAGCTTCACTCCGCTCGGGCCTCCCAGAATAACGTCCCGAAGCCTTTACGGGAGCCTGATACGAGTAGGCCTTCCTCTGACGAGAGGCTCACTTTAAAGCAAAAATTTGAGCGTGGCTGGCGTCCCTGCCCTAAGGGCTGTCCCTATCTTGGCAACTACCCCAGCTCGAGTGATAGCAAGTCTATCAAATGTTTGTGTGGTTATGAATATTGCAGAGGCTGTGGTGTAGATGAGCGCATCATAGCGGCTCACGACGGTCGGTGGCACAAAACCTCCTGCCCGTATTTTGAGCGCTATTCTACGATCAAAGCAGCTCCTCGGGCCTCCACGAGGTGTCCTCAGTGCGCAGAGCTTCACCACCGATGCCCCTTCCCCTTGAACGATGGCTATCCCGATAAACTGATGCGATCTCTGATACACACCGCACGTGCCGACCCTGAACCTCATCGGAGACCTGCTCCGTGGGCTAAGAGTTAAAAAGTGTTTGTGTGTTCTTATTGTTGTGTGATATTTGATTACCGTTTCTCGTGTTCAAGCTTTGAGCTATTGGGTTGTTAGTACGGACTAAGCCCGCTACGCAGTGAAAGGAAAGCAATTTCAACTACTTGGTACAACAACGAGCATAACGCTAGCTTTTCCACTGGCTATAGAAATTTCATGTGGTAATCTCGATCATCACAAAAAAGAGCCCTTTGGTCATACCTTCGTCCCCCAACGTTTTCTCTCTATGTGTGACACACTTTTGAGCGTTTCCGCGGCGATTATACTGAACTGAACGCGACGACCCACTCAACTCGCACAAGAATATTTGGAGCCAGTCCGTGTTCGGAAATTCACGGCTCGCTTTTTACGAGAACCACTTGAACATTGCGTCAAACGGAATCATATCATAAGGATCAAATCATCTCATCACACTTCTTATGCTTTCTTGAAAATCACAACGTAGTTCTCGACGAGACCTTCGACCTCTGGCTCGGAGGCGACTTCGAAACCCACCGATCGGATTTCCTGAAGAAAAATATCACCAATTCTGACGTGCATATTTCAAGTCTGTGTGACTCACCTCAACGAAGACGTCCTTATCGGCCCGCAAGTGCTCGATTACCCAAGTCTTGTCTTCTCTGCTGCTTTTACTAGGGTCTCGCCAGAAGTCTACCAGCACTAATCTTCCAGTATCTGAAACGAACATGATGAGAATAATTCCACCATAATCTTCGAACGAATTGGTTCCACTGGTCCATCGCAACTCGCGATCTATTCTAGTCGATACGTAATAGATAGATTCTTACCCTTCAGTGATCGCTTAAGCTGCTGGACTATAGTCCGTGGATGTGTGAGGTGATGATATACGTCACAAAGAACTGCCAGGTCGACCGAGCCGTCGCTCTCAGTAGGTAGACATAAGTCGTCTTCGGTGCCTGCCAACATGCGCGATTCAAAAGAGTCGTAGGAAACTTCAGACTTACTATGAATAATTTCCACCTTGTCTTTCTCTATCCTGTCGTCGTCTCTGAGGTGCTGTATGAAACCCTCAGAAAGCTCCGTTGCGTACACCTTCTTGCCAGGTCGCTTACTGAACTCTCGTGTCAGAAGGCCCGTACCCGGACCAACCTCGACTGAGACTGTCTCGGGGTTAAGATTGAATACCTGACAGAAATCAGGTCATGGGACTGGCGCGGTACGACCACGACATCAACAGTCGTAACAAGCCGTCATATGAAGGCTACCTCGAAAAGCCCGTCGAGATGATGAGCCAAGGGTCTATCGACTTCAAATTTTGGAAGGAAAAACTCTAGCAATTGATCCTTGTCCTTGTCTTGGAACTCCTTATTAGCTCCCTCGGGGAAATGAGAGATCTTGCTGAAGTCGGCTACGTCAGGACAAGTTGATTGCATAATAGAAACTGGGCTGCTAATTCAAAACGAGGAACGCTGACCCTGTCAAACACAGTCGGGGACAGCTCTCGTGACATCAGGACGGAATCCACAAAGCGTGTCTCCTATGCGAAGCGTTTACTTGCAGGTTCTTAGATTGTACAAGACTAATGAAAGGACCGCAATATACGAAGTTCACGGATTGGCGCAGTAGGTACCTCTCACCAACATAAGCAAAAACGGCGTGTGTGTTCGGTCGCATACATACAACGACGTGAATACAACATTTCTTCCGGTGAGATATGATCTCGGGAAGTACATTGCCTGAGATTCCATCGAACTCAACAACTTAGACAGGAGGCTAATAGAGAGAGTATATTCAGTAACAACCACCATAGCATGTACATCACAAAAGCGCCCTCTTGAGAGCCAGCGTTATTGCTTGACTCGAGGAGTTGCGCATTGGCGGCTGATTACGTGAACTTGGAAGCCTCCACTGCTGAGCTCGGATATCGCTAGATCGCAAAGGTTTTGCGGCAAGTACATCTCTTCAAGCGCGACCCCATAGAGTGACCATACAATCCATAATGGATTCGGCAAGAGTCGTGAGTTTTACGTGGACTCATCTGACGCGGACCTTGCAGATGAGTGCTGGTGAGCTCAGCGACAACAGTACCTTCCCAAGACAGTGGGCCCTGTCCATAGAGCGTCTTCCAGTGACCCTGCCCAGCACCATCAACAGACTCAGTAGAACTAGTTAATACTATTCTGAATCTCCGATGAAGCAGGTTCTACTAGGAAGCATCCACGTCCCTGTTAGAAGAGATCATCCTCCCATTCCCCCTCGAGTGGAGACATCATTATCAACGTAGGTAGCATTGCCGTCCTCCTGGCCCAGGACCAAGAAAAAGTAAGTTGAGAACATAGCCCGACTGCGCATTGTCGTTCAATCATAAGACCTTTCATATGAACAATGACAACCCTCTTTGTCCTGATAGGGGTAGAAGCCTAATGCACATCTCCCCCAATGTACCATTCCCATCCTTCTGGCCTCCTCTAAACTAACCGTGATAGGTACCTCCTTGCACAATGGCATCATCTGCATAACGTACAGAAGAGAACTTCCGACACCGGCAGGATTCCTCAACTACCTTCCTCATAATCTGACACCTTTATCTATTCAATTCAATTCAAATCCCAGTGTACTTAGTGTTTGTTGACGACATTCTGCATCATACATGCACTTTGCAAGAATGATCGATTTTTGAGGGCGAGCGCAATTCGCAACAGTGGTCGATATCGACTCTAACAAACAACTTCTATCTACTATGCTCACTAGCAACCGTTCACAGCACTCTCAGCGGTCTGAAAACGTCCCTATTGGGAAGGAGGGTCATGCTGTGATGGAAACTCGTAAACGGGAGGTGTTCATGGACCTCAGCAACACTTCGAACTTTCTGCCTGCTCACACGGGTGAGTCTCGTCTTGGTGGTGATTCTGGTTGGTTTTGCAGGATGACAACAGGCGCGGCCTCGCGAGGCAAGGCACGATTAGGGGACGATCTTGATGATACTATCATGCAGGGCACCACACCGGCTAGAATGGAGTCCATGAGCCCAGTGATTGACTGGAAGGACACCATCCCCCCAGAGGATCGTCAAGTGACGTTCACTCAGGAGTTCATCCCTCCAGTGAGGGACGATTTTCAGGATCTCGGCGACCCTCAGTTCGTGGCGGAATATGTCAACCCTATCTTCGTCAATATGAACGGCGTTGAACAAAAGTAAGTCGGCTTGATCGTCCCTCAGTGAGGAAAGTATCTTCTCCGTTCGTTCAGATACAGACAGTCCAGCGACTACATGCAGAGAACCCAGAATGATATCACTCAGCGTATGCGTGCAGTTCTGATCGATTGGTTAGTTGAGGTCCATTGGAAGTTCAAGTTGGTTCCTGAGACGCTCTACTTAACGGTAGCTATCGATGGTGCTCCTCTCGGTTGATGATTTTGTGTGTTTTCAGGTTAACTTGATTGATCGCTACCTTGGGCAGTGTCCTAATCTCCCACGTACACGACTGCAGTTGGTTGGTGTTACTTGTTTATTGATTGCTTCTAAGTGAGTCGAAGTTGGTTGAGGAGTGGTATGAGAAGAAGACGGTGTTTCTGTCAGATATGAAGATATATATCCTCCCGAGATGAAGGACATTGTCAGTATATGCGACAGGACTTATCAACGTCATGAAGTGATGGAGATGGAAGTTGACATTCTCAACACGCTTGGGTAAGTGTCTCTTCTCTCGTTCAGTGTTGTATTGGTATTTGCTTCAGGTTCTGTATGACTACCCCGTCGCCGATGTTCTTCCTGTTGCGGTATGCTAAGGTCATGGAAGCCGATGAGAAGCACTTCTTCTTAGCCCAGTATTGTCTGGAGCTTGCATTGCCAGAGTAAGTGGGTTTGTCTCTGTTTTATATTGAATGGCTACATTAGTGTACGTTTTACTGTATATACTGGAGTTTCACCTGTTTCACGTGAAGTGGCGTAGTACTCGGTGAAAACTCCGATATTGGCGGTATGCAGTGGCTTGTGGAATATATTTTTGCATCTATCTGATTTTAATCTGATATTATATGATTTTGACATTATCGATTATTCCTATTTTGATCAGGTATAGTATGTTGAGGTATTCCGCAAGTCAGTTAGCGGCAGGCGCCTTGTATTTATCCAACAAGTTGTTGAGGAAGCCGACAGCGTGGCCACCACATGTGGCCGTGCATTGTCCTAACACTGAGCACAACGTGAAGGTGGTGGCGAAGGAACTATGTGCATTATTGCAAGTAGCTACCAATGAGGACCATTCGGGGACGCAACTCAGGGCTGTGAAGAAGAAGTTTCAGCTCTCTAAGTAAGTGGGGTGTGGGAGAATACTGTAGGTCGTGATGTGAGCATCGTTCGTGACAGTCTGTCACTGACAGAGGAAATTTAGAGTTATATTGGGAATGCAAATGGATTTGATTTTATTTGTTGTTGTTTTCAGGTTCCGTAGTGTGTCCCGTATGGTGCTCGGATGAAGATTAAAGCTGGAGTGTTTAATCTCGTACTGATTTATCACGCAAGAAATTGTCTATGATTTTAGACACTATCGTCCTGAGGAATGCCAGTTGTTGGACGCTTATTCGTTTGTAAAATGAAGCCCCGTGATTATTATCGTCGTATGTGATCGGTTGCCCGATTCAATTAGTTTCGTATGCTGCTGTAAGCACGCAATGCATGAGTTATACTACAGAGTGACGAATACTTTCTGTGGGCAGTATTGTGTTGGAAATAGTCATGCTGGTCTTTGTTAGTTCTTCTCAGTGGGTTGGGTTTTACTGTTGATTTTTGAGCACATGTTATTATCATGGTTAAGTGACTTTATATGTCTGTTGTGTTATGGAGGAGGAGTTGGGGATATATGTGAATCGCGTGTTTGTTATTGTCAGTTTTTTCGTGTGATTTGCATGGTGCATATGGTCGTTAATATTATGGAGTTTCACCCGTTTTATGTGCAGTGGCGTATTTCTCTGTTAAATGCAATATTGGCGATATGCAGTAGTCGTGAAATTATTCTCACTGGTCTTTGTCATATCGCGGGTGAAACTCTTTATTATATTCCTTATGTTCTCTATGCTAGGTGGTGATAGACAGTTTATTACCTTTCCGAATGCATTGAAGATATTATTGTTGGTTTCTCAGTCGTTTGTCTTTCGTTCGTCTGAACCGATGTTATATATTCCTATTGCGTTAGTCTTTATAGAGTATGTGTGGATTTGATATGCTAATGTGTGTTATTGTGGAGGATAAACTTGCCCTTTGTGGCGAAGGGGCGGAGCTCACTGAGTCCACGTCCATGGACTCAATCAATGAATTTGACATAGGTCCCCGTTTCGATCCCCGGGTAGGACATTTCTCCGTCATTAAAGTTCTTCGTGCATATCTCTTCGAGCTGTTCGCATAATCGAGTTTTCCGGTTTTGCCCAAAACCTCCGCGTATAGAGGAGTCTTTTGGTCTATCTGACAACCTTCCACGCTTCGTAGTTAAGTCAGAATAATTCTGCACGCACGCACAACGGGAAAGTGCCTGTTGTTGCGGTATATGCTCCGCTCGCTTCGCTCGGTTCGCAATTAATATCAAAAAATAGCACATATTTGCGCATCAGATTGACACACTGTACTTTTATGCAACTTCTACATTATTGATTTAGTTGTGTGTTCTGATGAAATCGTCTTCCCTCGAGCCGTCCTCCCCCTTGAATGAGCCGTTGTTGATGATATTCGACGACTTCCTCACGTCTGAGGAATGCGATAGGATTGTGAAACTGTCCCTTAAATAATCGTAAGGTAATATGGGGTAATTTATACGTAGTGTTTGTTGACGACATTCTGCATCATACATGCACTTTGCAAGAATGATCGATTTTTGAGGGCGAGCGCGATTTGCAACAGTGGTCGATATCGACTCTAACAAACAACTTCTAGCTACTATGCTCACTAGCAACCGTTCACAGCACTCTCAGCGGTCTGAAAACGTCCCTATTGGGAAGGAGGGTCATGCTGTGATGGAAACCCGTAAACGGGAGGTGTTCATGGACCTCAGCAACACTTCGAACTTTCTGCCTGCTCACACGGGTGAGTCTCGTCTTGGTGGTGATTCTGGTTGGTTTTGCAGGATGACAACAGGCGCGGCCTCGCGAGGCAAGGCACGATTAGGGGACGATCTTGATGATACTATCATGCAGGGCACCACACCGGCTAGAATGGAGTCCATGAGCCCAGTGATTGACTGGAAGGACACCATCCCCCCAGAGGATCGTCAAGTGACGTTCACTCAGGAGTTCATCCCTCCAGTGAGGGACGATTTTCAGGATCTCGGCGACCCTCAGTTCGTGGCGGAATATGTCAACCCTATCTTCGTCAATATGAACGGCGTTGAACAAAAGTAAGTCGGCTTGATCGTCCCTCAGTGAGGAAAGTATCTTCTCCGTTCGTTCAGATACAGACAGTCCAGCGACTACATGCAGAGAACCCAGAATGATATCACTCAGCGTATGCGTGCAGTTCTGATCGATTGGTTAGTTGAGGTCCATTGGAAGTTCAAGTTGGTTCCTGAGACGCTCTACTTAACGGTAGCTATCGATGGTGCTCCTCTCGGTTGATGATTTTGTGTGTTTTCAGGTTAACTTGATTGATCGCTACCTTGGGCAGTGTCCTAATCTCCCACGTACACGACTGCAGTTGGTTGGTGTTACTTGTTTATTGATTGCTTCTAAGTGAGTCGAAGTTGGTTGAGGAGTGGTATGAGAAGAAGACGGTGTTTCTGTCAGATATGAAGATATATATCCTCCCGAGATGAAGGACATTGTCAGTATATGCGACAGGACTTATCAACGTCATGAAGTGATGGAGATGGAAGTTGACATTCTCAACACGCTTGGGTAAGTGTCTCTTCTCTCGTTCAGTGTTGTATTGGTATTTGCTTCAGGTTCTGTATGACTACCCCGTCGCCGATGTTCTTCCTGTTGCGGTATGCTAAGGTCATGGAAGCCGATGAGAAGCACTTCTTCTTAGCCCAGTATTGTCTGGAGCTTGCATTGCCAGAGTAAGTGGGT